AAAAATAAATTGTGAAGTTCAATGCTCTCAAAGAATTATACAGCTTTTTTAAAGTTGTGTCCTTGTTTTAGTCTTTCTAGAAAATGACTGACTTCGTTCATCATCATCATCAAAATTTTCTTCTTCAGATGCATCATCCGTAGGTATGGAATCAAAAGGAAAATTTTTGTTTCTATCACATCCCCCGGAAAACCATGAAAACTAGAACTTTGCTTTTCCCGGAAAAACGATAGAAACGAGAATGCTTATGGAAGACAGTAAATTTTAAAAAACCTACGGAAGACGATGCATCTGAATAAGAAAATGTTGATGATGATAACATGTGGAAAGAATAAATTTGAAATAAAATGATACCAGAGCCAGGATTATCGAGCATCGAACACTATCATCGCCCTCAATATCATCCATTTTTCATTGAAAGATTAACCAAGCGATTGTTTATCACCGCGGTTTTTTTTTTAAGCGAAGAATAATAAGTGACGACGCTTGAAACGCAAATTCCGATAGTTGTGGCTTATTCAGCGTGATTACGCTAATCGTTACCTTTCCAAATATTACGTCTCAGTGATAACAGTGCCGCATTATCACAGCGTTTATTCTTCGAGCGAGAACATGTAAATGCTGTGCTCTACACGTCCAAGGATAAAGAATATTCATTTTATTGGGTAAATGCATTGTTGATTCACCCGGGCGAATTTCCCCGACTCCTGGCTGGAAGGAACACCGCAAATCGAGAAAAAAATCGATTAAATTTGGAAATCTAATTAACCTCCACAATTTCTAAGTGTGTTGAAAGGATTGTTGATCATTCACACTGTTAGACGGTCTTGGATGGGTCCTTTGGTCTCCCGAGATTCTGCATTCTGTAAACACGAGGTAAGTGAGCAACATTCAATTTAATAAACTGGAATAACTGCAGGAGAACAGCAATGCTATACTAATCATCTTGTTTTAGTCAAGGATACTTACGTTGAGGTGAGATACTACTGTGTGGTTTTGGTGCCTGAGAAATCCATGTAAGGCTGTCTTAATCATTCATCTCTTTGTGCCCCCGATGTCTTTAACTGTAACAACATGTCTTGTTCACAGAGCTGATAACACCGCCACGTCCGCGTCGTGGTCCTGAATAATCTAAAAAGCGGTGCAGGTAAGTTAAGGTCCTCAATCAGAAAAAGACAAATAAAATCAACGAGACTTCAGAGCTACGAAAATTCTCATGAGGAATTGCGATTGAGAAGGCGTAGGAATCTACTATACATTTACTGTTTATTTATATAAAAGGAATATTAGGTATGAATCAACCGAAGGCGTATGCTGAATCCAATGCTTTACAATACCGTCATGTATTGGATCTGATCGAAGAATTTGCTGAGGAATTCAACAAAATGAAAGGCCGCATCATTGATATTGGCTGTGGTCCTGGGAATGTTACCAAAGATATACTGCTCCCCAATGTGGATAAAAATGCTATTATTGTTGGTAAATATTGAAGGAAAACAAAAATAATTCATGATGTTGATTTCAGCGAGTCAGTAATGGGTCATTTTTTCGAAGGACAGCTTTGAAAACACTCAAGATCCAAAATAACCATTCAAAATAAAATAATTGAGCAAATTTCATTCAAAATTGGTTAAGAAATTCTCAATATATTATCTTAAATACCCAAAATATTAAAGTACAGTTATGAATCCGAAAGTGTAATATTCTGTAATTGTCAAATACTAAAAACTGAAGAACTTCAAACCTGATTATTTTTTATATTCGAAGTCCTCCTGGAATTGTAACTTGACAAAAGTAACATCTACTGATTCCACATTGCTTGATTCCATGGCTATTTCAATATAGCTATAATTTTACCAACTATCAATTTTATTTATTAATAACCATGATCTGTATAATAAATGCATTGATTTGGTACCGAGGTGCTGATATATGCCCAGCTATGGTTGAATATGGAGAGCAACATCACAGAGTTAAAGATAGGCTATCATACCTTCAATTAGACATCCAAGCACCGGAACTACCCGAAGAGTTAGTCGAACAATTCGATAATGCAGTGTCTTTCTATGCCCTCAACTGGTGTAAGAACATGAAGCTAACGATGGAAAACATCTACAAACTCCTTCGTCAAGGCGGTAAAGCTATCATTCTAATGATATCGCATCACATGATATTCGATATTTATCTGGAACAGGAGAAAGATCCACAATTTTCAGCATACATGCAGGTAAAATAAATCACAAATCCCTCTATTCATGTTGCAGTTCGAATTTCTGCGTACGCCATTCGAATAAGTTGTTTAAAAAGTAGTAGAGTAGTTTGCGAACCCTTCGCCTTCCCGAAGAAATCAACGTGTGAATCCCCAAATTTGCATTACTATCACTTTGGTCTTCAACAAGTGAGTATTCAGTTAATAGCTATGAAGAGAGTGTCACCTCAGTCATGCTCAATAGAGTTCAATTCCTGAAGAGTTATATTCGGGCAGTACATCAACGGTTGATAACTAGTATCAATCATATCAGAGTACGTCAGCGATAGAGTTCATATTACCGATCTAAATTGTTAGTCATCGCGTTACTTAATTAGCGAGAGTACTTATGATAATATTATGTTAACTTCAAGAAATTTACTGTCAATCTGAACTATTGGACGTTTTTTAAACCCGGAGTGAAATGCATGGTTATTGAGCTTTATAAAAATCCTCAGTGGGCGGTCTTTTACTTTTGTTCTATTTTTTTCACATTGTTAAATAAATGTAGTTGGTCACACCAG